TTGGTGGTGGATTCTATTATTATTATTAAGAGGGCTTTACTACTTATATAAACCCTAATCTAGTACGTCCGCTATATTTACGAGCTCTAAATAGGTAGGGTATCTAATAAGTTATATAATAGTTAATTCTTATATTAATTATCTACTTCTCTAAGTTACTACTACCTATATAAGTTAGATATACCTATCTACTCTTAGCGATTACGTAAGCCGTAGTTTATATACTCCTAAGAGTAGTAGATCCTAGATAATCTAGATATTATTATCTTAATTATAGAGTTCCCTAATATTAATTAAATATTAGCTCTTCTTTTCTTTAAAGATAGAATAGATATAAAAACTAATATTAAGAGCTATTATTAAGATTAATAACTATTTTAATATACTTGTAATTCTCTAGTCTCTAGTATATTAGATCTACTCTTCTAATCTTAAAGTAAATAACTTAATAATAAGAAATAATAGGAAATAATAATTAGAAATAAGGAAAATATAGCTTAAGCCTACTATTCCTATAAGCGTTAAGCCTCTAATTCCTAACGCTTTAGAGTAATAATATTATCTATAAATAGCTCTTTAAGGAAATAAACTAAATTATAATTTAAATAATAAGAATAGGCCTCTAAATCCTAGAAATAAAGGAAATAAATTAGAATTTAATAATAAATAATATTCTTATAATTACTAAATAAGTACTCTTAAGGCCTCTAAATCCTTAATATATTAATAGAATATAATAGAATAATTATTAGCTTTTTATAGAATCTATTAGAATAATTCTTAATAAATTAAATTACTTTTTAATAAGAATAATAAAATTAAACCGCTTTAATTAAATAAGTTTTATAGAAGATCTATATATCTTATTAATAAGTTTTAATAATTCTATTTTATTAACCTTTCTCTCTCCTTATATCGATTTCTTTATCTTTTATAAGCTAGCCTAATATATATAAATAATACTTATACGATTAATAAATATTTATTTTTATTATTCTTATTTATTCGTTTTCTTTTTCTTTTTAGCTATAATAATACCTCTTAAATATAAGACCTTTATACTTAAGCCCCTTAAGGCTAAGAGAGTAGCTAAGTATAAGAATACAGTTAATATTAATCGTAGGAGCTATTAATCTAGTATATAGTATATATACGTAGTAATATTTATAAGGTTCTTTATTTAGGTTATTTTAAATCTTATCTTTAATAAGTAAATTAAAATTAATGCCCTAAGTACTTATTATAACCTTAATCCTAAAGGATCTCGTTATTATAAATATACCTCTAAGTATTCCTATAAGCTAATATAAGCTTTTATAATCTATATTTCCTATATCTATAGCTTTAATAAGTATTATCTTTAATCCTATTAATATATTTAAGCTTACTATAAAGTTTTTAGCCGTTTACGATAAAAAGAATTAAACTATAAATTCCTATTCCTTTCTATTCCTTTAATTATTTAATTATATAATTAATTAATAATATAATTATAGGATCTAGAGAAATAGTATATTATTATTAAAAGTATATTATAGATTATTAAAGAAGAGGATATTAAAAGGGGTAATAACTTTAATAAAGACTTTAATAGTTTTAATAATATTAATTATAAAGCGGCTAAATAGGCTATAGCTTTATAGCTCTTTAATTACCTCTAATAGAACTCCTTAGAGTAATTAGACTCGGATTCCGAGATATTAGAATCTAAGGCCTAATTATTATATAGCGGATCGTTTATTTTATTAATTTAGTAATTAAAGGGTAATTATTTTTACTATTTTAGTAATTAAGCTATTTTTAGGGAATTATTAATTTTAATTATATTTATATTTTAATTATTCTTTTCTTAATATTTAATTTAACTTTTAATCTTAATTATAACTTTATTAGAGCTTATAAAAGCTTCTAATACTTAGTTTAGGGCTCCTTTAATTATTATATTTATAGGATTATCCCTTCCTATAATCTAATAAATTTCGTTAATTTTATATTCTTTATAGCTTTATTATAATATTATAAGATCTATTATTAAGCGTTTCTCTATAATTATACTTAATTAAATAAAGTATTA